TTCCCAGCCCTCCCGAGACCGAGCCCCCACACTCGTACTCGCAAGACAACTATGAGTGGGGTGTTGGCGAGGATGCCGACATCATCACATTCAACCCAATCTTCGATCCGGCCAAGACCAACTGGGTTTTCCGTGACGACGTTACAGGCTACGATCTCGAGCTCCCGGAACCCCCGCGGAGATGCGCTATCATTACTGTTTCGCGTCTGTCCAAACGCCTATTGGATCTTATGCATCGTGAGACATACCTCATGAAGCACCACATGTTCCCTGAAATGTGGCCTCCAACAGTCGCTTTCCACCACGGTCTGAAGGCCGTGTATGCTGCACACCCCGTGTACTTTGATCACAACTGGCCACTCGAAGCCCTCGATGGCACCTTCAACAAGCCCCCTAAGCCGACTGACAGCGTTTTCGGCTGGGGTGAGCACAACCAGCTCGGCAACAGCTTTTACTACAATGCTGGCTTCTCATCCGAGTGGTGGCGAAGGTGGCTCGGCTCTCGCGAGAATGACAAGGGTGGCCCACAAGAAGAGGAAGCCGGCACCGGCCGGTTATGCATGCGCAATACGCTCTTCCACCCCGTCAAATACGAAAAAGGATCTGAGTGACTTTCCACGCTTCGCAAATATACCCCTTTAATTGCTGGCTTTCTGGGTTTCCTTGTTTGTCGCTCTGTTTGCCGGCGCCGCAGACGTGCTTGTCGATAGATTCTCCTTCCCTCATTTTCTGACTTTCGCATATTCAGCGCTCACTCTCCCATTGTGGCGTTTCAACATCGGGCGGCGTATGACGGCGTTTTTACTTATGAATGAACATACAGTTCTTAGCTTGTCTTTCCATTTCGTCTCTCCGGCATTGCGTACACGAGCACCGGATTGTCTTATTTTTCTCAATGTATACTTACTTCACACGAACAAAAGCGGTGGAAAGTGTAATTAGCCGTACTCAACGGCGTCCGTTCTTTCAGTGGGCTTGTTTGGATCTGAGCGATGGAACCCTATCAAATTGTTGGCAGGCTGGTCTGAGGTCGAGATTGTCTCTTCCTTGCCCAGCTTCACCAGGACGTTTGGAGGTGCCGCATGTGGATATGTGTAGATGACGGGAAAACTTGTGCTTGGGTACTTATTCCTATGGTGTAACCCAACCTAAAGCTGGTCACTTGTTGTGGTTGTAGAACTATGAAATGCAATACAGATAATCACATAGTATGGTCCTCATCTCGTGAACTGCACTTGTGGGTAGTTACTCACCATTTACCCCGCATATACCTTGATACCTGAACATGTTGATCGACCGTGATGACGACGTAGTTGACTATAAGCTTCATGCCCTTATGCAGCTCTCAAGATCGTACATTAGCGTTACCATAACAGATCGATGGAGTCTGTCTCCTCTGGACCCGAGTCTCTTGGCGGACCGAAGCGCACTTTCGCCAGCTAATAGCGCGTCGGATCGTGCCTGCACATCATTGAGTGGTACAGCGGGGATGATCGACTTGGTTAATAGCGCTTGATAACACAATCAAGTTTTTGTACGAGGATCCTGTGCTATTCTACGGCCAGCGCCGGAAAGCTATGTTTCAATCACTGTCTCGTACGCCATATCTAGCGAGGGGTGTGGTTACGATGCGGCATCGCACGTGCGGTCCCGCCCTAGAGGACGCGTACTCTAGCCTGCCAGACTTCGTTTTCACGTGGCTGGCCCGCACTTGCACTCCCTTAGCTTCAAAGAAGGACAATACTACTCGACACAGGATGCAACGTGAGTAGCTGCCCTTAACAACAACGAGACTGCGAACGCGCAATCGGCATGAACGAGCTCCACATTCACGACAGCTTGGAATGACACGCTAGCCGGTTAGCCTCAGAAAATCCATGCGGGCTAGAACGATGAGGCCGGCGGCGTGGGCAAGTGAGAGGTCTTGGCGCGTGCTTGATCGTCCTTGGCTCTGCGCGTTGGCCCATCATTGAATCCCGTTCCTGCGCTCGCCATGTAGAAACACGATAACGGGTCGTTGCGACCCTCTCTCAATCTACTTGTCGATAATCTCGTTTGACCCTTCCGTGTTGCGCTGTTATGCTTCATTTTAGCTACATGCATCTTTTCCCGCTATAGCGTCATCGACATTGCATCGAGAATACCCCGAACCGCGATAACGAGACGGTAGAACAATGCGCTTCATACCGACACGGCCCCAGTCACGATGAGACTCCCTTTAGAAATTTTGGTTCTGCTCACGCACTTCCTGTATCTCGGCACCTCTCTCCCTCTCGAACGCCGCAGCACACCCTTCCGCTCATTCCGCGGCCTCACGCCCCTGGTCAACTCCTTTTCCAACGGGCATACCTACGCGCACGCGCCGACTAAGTACTTTTACGAATCCACATTCAACAGCCACTACGATGGACGTTTCGCATCCTCCGAGGTGCCCTTTCAAGAACGTATATGGCATCTCAGGCTTATGCTGAAGGCGTACACCGACACGATGGAGAGAATTGGAGTACAAACTTGGATAATGCATGGCTGCTTGCTAGGATGGTGGTGGGGCAGAAGCCTGATGCCGTGGGATAAAGACTTGGATTTCCTCGTAGAAGAAGACGGCGCACGAGAATTGGGTACATGGTGGAACATGACAATTCATCAGTTCAACGCTCGAGAACTCGGGCTTGAACTTGCATCAGACAACGAGGAGGGTCAGGTCAAGCAGAAAGGAATCCTGCACGGCTTGGAGCATCAGAACGAAGATGCAGAGACGCGCTCGAAGCGCCTCGCTTGGGAAGAAGACATTAGGAAACAGGGCAAGAAATACCTCCTAGAGGTAAACCCAAACTACACCAACAAATCTACGTCAGACATATACAACCACATCGACATACGCTGGATCGACGTAAACAACGGGCTGTACATCGACATCACAACACTCCACGTCGCACCCGCCTCGGAACAGAATTCCATCGCCAACTCTCCTTACTCCAGCACCCACCCCTCAGCCCACGAATCCGATCCTGACGCCTTCGACGACGAAACATTACTATACGTCAAAGACACCCACGCCTACCTCAACACCCAAATCTTTCCCCTCCGCCAATCCACCCTCGAGGGCGTAAATGTAAGAGTCCCATATGCGTATGAGGAACTGCTGCTGGAGGAATATGGATCAGATGCCCTGACCGAGGATTGGTACAACGGATATCAATTCAACAAAAAGACAGGGCAGTGGAAGAAGAAAGGGCCGACGGAAGACCAGAAAGCCTATTTCAGGAGGAAAAGCGGAAAGGATTTGGGGAGATTGAGTAGTACGGGGAGAATTGGGCATGGGTGGAAGGGGCATGGTGCGCTTGAGGGAGCACTGAAAGAGGAGGGTGTACAATTGGATGTTGAGAGGGGGAGGTGGGTTGAGTAGGATAACAAATCTGTGTATAAAGATGATTAAGTACAATGTAAGACCCTCCATCTAATCAACCCTCATCGTCTAGCGTCCTTGTCTACAGCCTTGCCTTTACGCGCGGTTCCTCTTCAAAACCTACTTCCCCAAAGCGTATCTCCTCATCTTCTTCCATCTTGACTCTACGCTCCAGCTCATCAACCACCCCATCAATCCGCTTGAACGCCCAACTATGTTCAGACCGCGGATACAACATGGGTCTTTGATCAAACCTGTTATCAGGACTGTAACTTGCTGCGTGGACTGCCGGCGTTACAGCAGCCATCTTATGCCTGTTGTTGCCATAGAAAGTCCAGAACCGCTTCACCAAATCGCCGACTTCCCGCGCACTCTTCCTATCCTGCCAATCACACAGCAGACGCTGGAACATGTCGAAGGGCCCCAGTCGCTCTTCACTGCGCAGCTTGGCGAAGACGAAAAGCTCTTGGTGCGTCATGCCGTTCTCCTTGTCGTCGCATGAACCGAAGCTAGCGGGCTCGAGTTCAGCGCGGGGAATGGCGTTGAGGAACTCGTCTAAGATGGGTAGGGTGAAAGCGGTACGTGCCCAGCGGATGAAAGATCGGAGTTGGATTTTGGAAATACTTCCGATGGGGCTGAGGTCTGCGGAGCTGCAGTCGTGCTTTGTCAAGTTGCCTCTGAGGGACTCCTCGACGTTGACGGAGCTCAGAACGAGGAGGCCACCTCCGCCGGGGTGGTTGCGGATGACAGGCAGGGTACGGGCCAGATAGTATGCTCTGGTTGAGCGAATACGAGCTTGCAGGTTTTGGAGTGCTAGGTTCTCCGCTGAAGAGCCTCGGAAGTCGGGAGTGAAGCCTCTGTATTGAGGCAGAAGGTCTCGTTCGGCTCGGTAGACCGTGTCGATGGACATGCTGATGTGGTGGGCGCCCATGCCTTCTGCGAGACGCTGAGCTCGTGAACGTGTCTCTTCGGATGAGCATTCTGACATGCCCATGTACACTGTGTGCAGGATGCGATTGCAGAGCTCTTGGGGGGTCTTGGGCAGCCAGTCATCGGCTCCCGTGATACGCTGAATGTCTGATGCGACCTCGTTTCCGTCTTGAAGCGCGTCGAATACCAGATAGCACATACTTAACACCATCACTGATGTCGAGCACGAGTCAATACCGCCGCTCAGTGGCGCTAGAAAGCCGACGCATTCGCTGCGGCGGAGGTAATGCTACAGAGTTTAAGATCCGAAGTCAGCGTATGTCTCACATCCAGTTCGTACGGCCACAACGTACCCAAGATAACAGGCTGGTCCCATGGCGATCTCTTCTTCCAATGTGTGAAAGCTTGGGCCCCGAGCAATAGGGTGGTGGTGATCCGGGCGCAGGGCGGCAAGCTCAAGACGATACAAATTGCATGCCACGTCTACACGGGGCGTGGTCAGGTCATCGAGGGGCCCCGAGACTGCTTGTTTCGCCCGATACGATTCAACCTCTTCCAGATCGACGACGGCGGTTACCACCTCGATATCATGGACCGAGAACCTTGGGCCTTGAGAAACTATTTCTCCGTTCACCAAGATCATCGGGCCACCGTCGTAGTAGCTTTAATCGCCATCGCAGCCATGCTGATTCGAGTAGAGGATGACTCCACCAATGTCTTTGCTGACATTCTGCAGTGAAGATACCAAGGAGTCGAAGTTCCCGACACTGAAGTGATTGGCTGCAGAGACCGTCAGGATATCAGCGCTTGTCGAGCTCAAGGCTGTCGGAAGCAAATCTTCGAGCCCAATCAACTCGTCGGATGTAATGGCGCCAACACACGCGCCTGAGGTGGAGAGCAGAGCACTGCCGAAAGGAACCATGCTGGTGCCCTGCATGTCCGCAATGAAGTCTGGTAAGGGAAATGCTTCGGGTGGAATAGTGGGATCCCAAGCGGTAAACCACCTTGACTCATTATAGTTGCCGTCAATCCTCAAAGTGGTTTTCGGACGTATTGAGACAATTCTACCGTTGTATGCCATAACTCTACTGATGGGCTGTAAGTACATTATCGAAGCAGTGAGTTAGTGTACTTACCAGATGTACCGGAGATTATGATGCTTGATTGGCATACCGATGTCTACAAGCATGTTGTCACAACACTCATCCGTGAGGATGCTAATGAGTGCTTCCCAGCAATTGGCGTATAGTTCTTCCTCGTAGAAGTGGTCATGACAGCCGTACCCACAAATCTAGTTTCGTTAGCGGGAATGATGGTAGAGCAAATGTGCTCAACGCCCATTATGTAGGTAGCCTTGTGAAACACCAATTTCCGATGGATAGCAGAATTTCGAGGTATGGATGACCATAGAAGTGTTTCAGGCGTGGAAAAGCGCCTTCAAGATGAAATAAATAAACCGATGACTTACTTCCAGTTCTGGTCCAGCGCGCAATGTAGCACCCTTGGCTTTCGCTTCGCGGATGCTCTGCTTGATACGGGTAGAATTTCCCTCCCAATCTAGAGCCCACTGAGCAAGCGAGCATGATGCAACGACAATCTGGCGACTCATGATGTGATTGCTTGAGGCGAGTCTCGCAACCAGGAACTTCAATGGAGTCGGTCGGGGTGATCTAGAATTAGTTGAGAAGTCGCAGTGAGCGTGGAAGAAATGCGAGACTTTGAAGTATGCGCTGAACTCAAATAGTCGGGAGAAGGAACAAGGTGAATGTAGAATTGTGGATTTCGTTCCGGTGTCGCAATCGAGTCGTGACAATCGCGCAAGCGGCCAACAGAAACACGCCGACCATTATTAACTTGGTGAATAGCCATTGTTTATGAATGATATCGAGCATCCAAGGGATAGTCCAGTTCGAGTTAGTGTAGTGTGATGAACCACGATGCCGATGCAAAGGGATTACCTCCCAGTATCCTGCCTGCAGCGGTCGCTAAACCCGAGGGGAACCAGCGGGTACAACCCCATTTGATGGCAACCGAACAACGGGGCGACGAGGTTTTATTGGATTGTTGGTGGTCTGCAAGGTTTCGGGGTGTTCGCGTAGGTTGAGTCGTAATGTCCAACCTAGGAAGGACTTGAGGTGTTAGAGGCCATGCCTGTCTGAGTAATCCCTTCACAACCCCCTTTTACAAATCGAGATGGACTGCATGAGAACACTGGGCGGAGACTATTATATCTTGATGGAATCTGATCTGTAGGATTTGATCGCCGACATCCATTTCGTGAAGTTGGAGAGGTTGCCCTGTCTTATGCACGAGGTACGAATCCAGTCATGTTGGTCAGGCCGGCATGATGTGTCAGACGAGAGCCAGACTTCGACACAACTGGAGGATCTGGATGGAATTTTGCTTTTTGCCGACGCGTCAATGGAAATGTTGAGTAATTGGGGATATGCATATCTATTGCTGTTGCCTTAGTGAGCAGTCGTTGGCCCAGGAGGATTTGCCCGGACTCATTGAGTCGATCCGTTTCATCATATTGGTGGCTGAGTTCATCTTCGCCGTTACAACTCGTACCATACCTAGGTAATGAAGGAAAGTGTGTCCTTCACTTAATATGGCCAGCTTTGAACAAAGACGCATGACGTAATGAAGGACGGGCGGTTGGACGTTTTCACGGCCAGGTCATCGTCGGAACCTGCGGGCGGGCTAGAGTGAAGGATAACTTGGCGTCATAGGCACGAAGTTTGTCCGCTAGTGCTCAGGACGAACTGCGCGATGTGGAAAGACGAAGCTGGGAGTCTGGGCATGGTGTTTAGTGGAGTTAAGAAGAGCTCGAAATGCGCTAGCTCGGAGCCGGATCGGAGAACTTAGCATCTCCGATCACCGTCTTCATGACACCAGCATCAACAACACTCGCGTCGGATGCCTTACATCCAGGACATTGTAAACATGCGGTACTATTGGCTCGATACACCGGCTCAGTCGTACTACAAAACGGGCCTTTTCTGTATTGAAGATTCGCAATGTCGAAAAACTTCAGATGGTTTTAAAGCGTAAAGTCCGATGACTACACCCGGAATCTCTATGATGGCCGCATATGCGTGGCTTATTTCAAGACGCGGCCCGACTAAGATGACTGATAGATCAGAGTAGCAAAGAGGTATATAAGGTAGGTGGTCATCAACTTTCGTATTTACCAACATACTATCACTATCAAGACATCATTCACATCCTCACCAAACACCAAAGCCCCAAGATGTCGAAGTCTAAAATCGCCGTCTTCGGTGCCACAGGCAACCAAGGCAACTCTGTCGCCCGCACCGTCCTCACCGACCCCTCCCTATCAGCCTTGTACAGTGTCCGCGCCCTTTCGCGCTCTGCCACCTCCCCCAAGATGCAAGAGCTACAGTCTCTCGGCGCAGAGCTATCCGCAGCCGACATGGACGACCCCACGACACTCCCATCCGCCCTAGCAGGCTGTACACACGTCTTTCTCATAACAACAACGCAATACACGGGCTTCACGCGCGAAGTCGAAACACGCCAAGCACGCGCCGTATGCAGCGAAGCCATCAAGCAAGGTGTCAAATACATCATCTTCAGCTCAATGTCGCACCCCTTCAAGATTAGCAACGGGAAGTTGAAGAACGTAGAGCATTTTGACGACAAGGCTGAGATCGAAGAGTATATCCGCGGTTTGCCTGTGCAAAGCGCGTTCTTTGCTCCAGCGTCTTTTATGCAGAATTTCGAGGGCATGATGAAGCCCCGTCCTTCTCCTGCGAATGATGGTACGTTCGTATTGGGGGATGTCTTGCCGGGCGACACTCCTGTACCGTACATCGACATCACCGAAACGGGGAAATGGGTTGGGGCTATCCTTGCTGAACCAGACAAGTACGCAGGCAAATTCTTTGCTGCAGCAGAGGCGTTGTATACGCCGGACGAGGTCGCCGAGCTCATGAGTAAGGTGACAGGGAAGACAGTCAAGCATGTTCAGCTTCCAGATGAGGTAGTCAAGGGATTTTTCCCGGAGGGGTTCCGGGAGCAGTTGTATGAGATGTTCGTGTTGAACAGGGAGTATGGGTATTATGGCAAGGGGCAGAAAGAGGCGGTTCAGTGGGCGAAGGAGCAGGTCAAGGGGGAGTTGACGGGAGTGGAGGCGTTTTTGAGAAAGAACGGCTTGAAGTTGGAGTGATGATACATGATACATGGCGCGGCAGGCTGTACTGTAAGGGCGGTATTGGGGGCTGAGAACAATGGATTCATGCTTGAGTAAATCGTTTGCGCCCAGTATAGCATGTCTTGTAGTGTTACACGCTTTTGTACTTCTACCTGTATAGTGATTTTACATACGATACAATACAATGACCCAGAAGTCTACATTACACCCCAAAGTTGCAAATGTATATTTTTTACGCGTATGTAGACTGCAGCGCACCTCAGTATCCATTGTAACCACCCTGCATGTTGGGATCGGCAGGGTAACCCCACATTGCCATTGAGTCCGGGATGAACAGTGCTGACAGATCTGCGTCCGAGCCTGTGCCTAGATCGAATTGGGTGAAATCGAAGTTTATATCGAATGGTTGTTGTGCGCCAAGACCCATCATATCTGGAGTAGGCTGTGCGTTCATGTTAGGATACCAGTTTGGCATGGCTTGCTGAGAATGCTGCGCGTGGGCCTGTAAAGCGGCCTGAGCTTGTTGCTGAGAACGAGATTGCGCCTGTGCCTGCGCTTGCGTCTGCTGCTGCTGCTGTTGCTGAGAAGCGACATTGTTGCTGCTACCCATTGCGACTTCCGAGAGAAGGTGAAGCGGGGTTTGGTTTGCAGGTGATTGGCGCGTGGAGGGTCGGGAAGTTTGACTGTTGTTTCGGGTGGAGTCGTATTCGGGATCCGTTTGTTGCTCGCCAGCAGCACCCTCTTTGATGTGAGCGAACCGCTCTTGAAGGCGCTTTGCAACGAAGTAGAACTTTCCATGGGGCGATTGAGCATCGCGGGAGACAATGGCATTGAACATGGAGACTAGTTGTTCGGTATAGGCCTCGATCTTAAGATCTTCCTGGCAGATGATACTACCCACTTCGCCGGAGCTAGTGACTGATACCCACATCTTCATTAGGCAAACGATAGCGTAAATGGCTCGTACACCTGGATTGTATTAGCGCGTATATTACGTTGAGATCAGGGCATATTACAGAAAATGACAGGCAGAGTCAGCAGGATGTCAAGTTCGATACTTAGGATCGTGTCTAGGATACCGTGGGTAGCAGTGAGACAATCACCCAGAGCACCTATGTGTGCTGGGCCAGCAGGTACATCTTTTTTGACTCCAGATGGTAGAGAGGGCGACAACGTATCCGACACAAAAGGGGGTTGTAGATCGGCCGAGCCCTGATTTTGGTGCAGTGCAATTTCATGCAGGTATAGGTTTGTAACGTGTTCGGCCAAGCGAAGGGTTGCTGCGACCGTCAGTAGATGCAATGAATCATGACCGCTACAACCTACGATCAATTTCACCCAGAGAGGAATTCTCCTCCCTGAGTGAGCTGAGCTCGTTCTCAAAAATCTTTAGGGCGTAGATGACTTTTGGATCGGAAATGGTGACCTCGACTGAAGGGTCATCCATGCAGAACTCCACTGAGATCTTTTCTCCAATGTGCGCCATCTTGACCTGCTGGCAAAGCAGTCTGTCTGAAGGCAATGCCTCTGGCGAGGTCTCCAGTATGCGAACACTCTCCGCCATGTAATTAGTCCAGCGGAGCAGAATTGGTCGTCGCAGGACCATTGTGATACTCATGCAGAGATAGTAACACACAAGGAAAGTCCGACGGGCTTCGACACTGCTAGAGTTGGGATGGTACCTCTTGAACGGACCAACCGAGAGTCTCATGACATTTGGAGTTGCCTTCCTTCCGAGACCTAGGTCAAGAGCCATTACGGCAGCGCAATTGACCATCATGTAGAAGTTGTGCTGTTCAAAATGAAGAGGCGGCCGATACCAAAGTACAGATATGTGTAATGCCTGAACGATTTCGAGCGACTTTTCTCCGTTGCGCCAGATGATGTCGGCAAGCTGATCTTTGAGGAGCTTGGTCAACTCGCGTTGCGCCTCTTGCGAGACCAGTTGTTCTGCACTCCCATGTGAAGATCCAGCCAGGACAGCGAGGAACAGAAGCGGTTTTTTCTCTCGGACTTCACGCGCTGTCGTACCAGGAGGGAAAGGTACGGCAGGGAAATGTGGACAAATCTCGTTCACGTAACGAAGGAAAACCCGCTCCGCGATATCCGGTGTCATGAGGTTGTCGATCAAAGCACTGATGTGTGAATGGTCGGCGTGGATCTTATTCTTGCTTGTTCGTCGCATTTCTGGGTGCTCTGCTAGATCGCGATGAATAGCATCCATATCCTCGGGAATCGTCTGAAATGTTAGTTTTGACTTCACATACCATTGACTCGACTCACAGCGTGCGCATTGTCCATCTTCCTACGCTTTGGCTCAGGCCCTCTCTGCAAGCTCTGTGCCGGACCATAGCCGGCTGGTATGTCTGGGTATCTGGCCGTCGGCGGCTGCGCCCAGTCGTGTTCGACTGTTCCCATGCGATATTGCCCCTCAACCGGCATGGGCATCGCGTTGGCGCTGGCACCGGGTTGTGGTATGCCTCCATGGTGCCTCATTTCCGGTACTCCCGGTACTCCCGACTTCTGCGCGTGTAGTGTAGCTGTCAATGCATCGATCTTGCGTTCGAGCTCAGCGACTCTACTGTCGGCTTTCTTCTGGCGCTTCCGTGTCGGCGGTGTTGTGATGCAAGGCCGGCCTGCTTTTGCGCATCGTCTGCATGATACATCAGGTCGCTCTTGGTCGCAGCGGACCTTCAGTCCTCGACATGAGTCGCATGCTCGCGGGCGCTTGAGGTCGGCGGGAGATTTGCCAGAACCAGGTGTGTCGTGTTCATGCGCGTCGTCGTGGTCGTCGTGGTCGTCGTCATCGTGCTCTGTTCCTGGTGCGGTCGGCGATGTCTGCTCAAGGGCGGGATCGAGTATGTTCCCTAGTGGGGCGGGCTGCGACAGCTGGGGATGGTGTTGAGTGGTCGGAGATGGCAGGTAGTATGGGTGGCCGGTGTTCTGCTGCTGCTGCGGTGCAGACGCGTACTGAGGCCGTGAAGATGGCGCCGAAGACGCGCTCGCAAAAAGTCTAGGATCGAGCAACGGATCGGACATCGCGAATCGTCAATCTCGAGGCTTAAGTTCAATGACTGTCGGCGTCGGTAGTATAGTGACCGAACTTCCGCCTGTGGGTAAAGTTGACAGAAACCTCGGCGTTCAGGTGTCAGTGCGTACGCCAAGCCAAACTTGGCCTCTAGCTATTCACTTTTGTTTCTGTCATCACCTCACATATCAGAGCTATGTAGGTTCGCTGCGGCTTACGTTATCGTAAAGACAAGAGTTTGCAACAGTCGAATGTAATGTAGACTCCTGAGCAAGTATTTTCAGCAACTTTGAAGAAAGCAGGGATTAGATTCTCCTCTCGAATGAGGGGTTATTGGGAATTATAGCAGTACTTGAGTCGAGGCTCTAGCATGAGTCTTCTGTCATATCACATGTGATCGCATACAATACAAGGTTCGTCAATGTTGTAATGTGTTCATTAAAGAGATAGACTTCATAAGATCATCAATAACATAAAACCATCCCGTTGCGCTCATCCTGAACTGACAGGTGGGATAATAGCAACCTCATCACCTTCCACGATCTGCTTGTTCGCGTCCTCGGCATCATCTTCGCCAACGTCAACATACTCCATGTTGATCGTCATCGCGCAGCTGCTCAGCACCTTGTCACGAATATCCGGATACCGCTCCTCCAGCATAGCAAAGACATCGCGAGCTCGGACGGGTGCAGGAAGATGTTCGCTCGTCTTGCCAGTGAAGGTGGACGCTGCTGCGAAGTACAGGATCGAGAAGTGGCCCGCAGGCGCTTTGGCGGGTGCCATGATGCCTGTCGAGACTTGTTAGGATTGTGTCGCGACATGGCCAAGTGCTAAGTGGGAACATTGAAAATTCAATCAGGAAAAAATTTGCTCCGCAGTCTGACGCCGAAGCGACGGTCGGATAATACATGCTATAATTTTGAATACATCATGAAAGGGGGTTGAGTGGAAGGAGACGATGTACATACCTTGGGCGTGAGGTGTAGGAAAGATGGACGGAGGTGTGCGGAGGAACATGTGAGTTCGCGCGGCCATTAGCGTGTCTGCACAGACCACCACCCGAGCGCGCCTTGCCTCCGCCGCACTTTTTGTATTGACGACATCATCCACCATTCGCCTCAAAATGTATCCTCGTTTTCAGCAGGCAGCGGGCCATGTATGCCTGCGGTGTCAATGGCGCTTGCTAAGCCAGCGAAATGCATCTCGGCAAATACAACTTTCACGCGGGCTTTCTACTTTGAAAGTTTCGCAAACACCAAGGCGGGCGCTTCATGTCGCTGGCAGTGTAAGTGATTCGCTCAGTACGCCATTCACGAACTGACATATATCAGCGCTCGCAACTATCCGCACATACCGCCACTCCCACACCACCTCCGGAACCGTCTCTGCTTCCTCGCCCTGAGGGCGTTGCAATCCGCGAATACCTCGAGCAGTGGCAACAGCAGTTTGGTGGGCCGACCGAGGAAGTACTATCGGCGTTTGAGAATCATCCCGAACGTGAAGACATACAAAATGGCCTGTCGAAGCTGTCGTCCGCGTTCAAGGCCGACGAAGACGCCAGAGAGAATGAGTGGGATGCTGCTGAGGAAGACGAGGGCGAAGAAGTGATTACGATTGGGCTCTTCTTGAAGCCTGGCGACGTGGTGGAACTTTCACAACCGGGTCGTGAACCTGTGCTTGCTGTGTTCGTGCAGCAGCTGAACAATGACAGTCAGTTCTTCTCCGTCAACGGCAGATGGACGCATTCGACCATAAGTCGGGTTTCCTTTGCCATCCAAGGTTGCATCGACCCAGCACTTCTCCAGCCGCTCATTCCATTCCTACCCACGGATCCCGGCGCGGCTAATCCCAAGGGTGAGGTTCATGTCCCGCGAGACTTTGCTGCTCCTGTGATAGCGAGTCTTGAAAATATGACTGAAGAAGCCGAGAAGATCTACCGAAAGAATGCTCCAGTCTTGGACACAGCCTATGATATCCTGGCAGACAAGACGAGGACACGTATGATGACACTGACACAAATTGCGAAGTTCCTGCTCGCGCGGGGTTCCCCCGACTGGGTACCACCGCCAGCAGCGCTACTAGCAGTACGAAAGGCCTTGAACCACAACGAATTCCGCTTCCGCTCCGATGGTCGTAACCATCGTCTGACAAACATGTTCGCTATACGACCCAAAACCGATGTCGAGGTCGTAGAAACAGTTCACGAGTGGATCCGAGAATACAGAGAATACCTTGCTCTTTCCGTCAATAGCCCTTCGGAAGCCAAGCGAAGCCGCACTGACGGCGCCACTCATATCATAGATTTCCTGGCAAAGGCCGGCAGGCTCATTTCAGCGAGTCGAAAGTTACGTGAGCCAACCTACGGCGGCCTTGGACCCAGTAAGACTCCAGCGACACAGAATGGGTCCTCTAATCTGCACGTCACTTGGGGGGAGCCGTTCACAAGTGCTGACAAACAGATCATCAACTTCCTACAAGCATGGGTACTGACCGGTCAGTTTACGGGTATGGCTGGTCTGCATGCTGCTTGTGCGAGCTTGATCTCAGCATCAGGTTTCTATGGTTCGGACGTCTTTGGCGATACCGGATCTCCCGATGATACGTTAAGCAACATCAAACGTGCTACTGGATTATTGTTTTTACAAGAAATTGGCGTCATTTCACCACACGACAATCGAGCGATCTATGACGAGCAGCTGATGCTGCCCACTGTTCGTCTATCTCGTAATCTGGAGTTACTCAACACTAAAGCGGAGCTGACAAGAAGGAATCCTGACTTCCGGGATTCAATGGCGAACCTACGTCGCGACTGGGGTTCGACCACCGTGTATTGCATTGACGATGTCGGCGCCCAGGAGATCGATGATGGCATATCGATTGAACGGGTCAAAGACGCGAGCTCCGAGTTCTGGATCCACGTACACGTCGCAAATCCAACAGCATTCTTCGACAAGACCCACACCCTGTCTGGACTCGCCGCGCACATGACCGAGTCTGTCTATACACCGGAGCGATCTTTCCCGATGCTTCCGACTTGGGCTAGTCAAGGCCACTTTAGTCTTGATCGTGGCCGCCCTGTTATAACCTTTAGTACTCGCATCGACGGAGCCGGCAGTAAGCTAGAAACAAAGATACAGCACGGCTTCATTCAAAATATCGTCAGTATCACACCATCCGAGTTGGCTACTCTCATGGGTGATCAGAGCACTACGAACACCCGAAGGATTGTTGTCGGCGGGGAGGTGCCGCGTGGATCGGAGCGGCCGCCGCCGAGTGTTTCTCCAAGTCAACTCGAAGAACTGCGTGATCTTTATACTGCAGCTCAAGCCCTATGGGCTGCTCGCAAGGCTGCTGGTGGCGTTCGATTTGGTAGTTCGAATGTCAACGCCCGTGTTTTTGAAAGCGCCACTCAGGGAGGTCTAAGTTGGAACGCTCCCTCTCTGGACAGGGCACGATATATACAAGGAGACCCGATCATCGAGGTGACGAACTCGATACCAGAAGGCTTTATGCAGCTCACCATCGGGCCCAAGAACATCGTTGAAGAAATGATGATGCTTGCAGGTCAAGCTGCGGCGGCTTGGTGCACGGAGAGGCATATCCCCGTCATGTACAGAGGCACTATCGAACCACCTAGCGGGGATCTGGATCCAAAAGAGCTACAAAATCTCGTCCAAGCTCACTACGAAGAGCATGGAAAAGTACGACTCGATCTCACTGCGCGGTGGTTCAAAGCACTTGGCATGGCTGTTGCACATTCTTCACCGTTGCCACATAAAATCATAGGAGTCCCTGGTTATATCAAGGTCACCAGCCCTCTTCGTCGATTTTCTGATATGATTGCACATTGGCAAATTGAAGCCGCTGTGCGATGGGAGACACAGTCCGGTAGGAAGTTCGATGGCACCCAGGCTTCCAGCTACAAAGCTCTTCCATTCTCGCAACGACAAATGCAGGAATCTATTGTAACTCTATCACCTCGGGAACGGATCATTACCCTAGCCAAGCGTCACTCAACGCGATTTTGGGTCGCCCAGGCGATTCATCGTGCCCTCAAATACAAAGAGGCTGCCCTTCCCGATTCCTTCAAGTTCTGGGCTCGTCGCGTTCGTCCAGGCCGTTACGCCCTTGGCGATATACCTGAGTACGGTCTCCAAGCTGTCCTGAGCGGTGACTATAAAGAAGGTGACGAGTGGGAAGTAGCGCTAGATAGGGTTGACCTTTTTACGAGGTTGATCTATGTCAAGCCGATTCGCCTCCTTGATCGAGTCACCGATGCGCTTTGAGTGAGCATGGAGTCAAAATTATGGTGTAAGTTTATCATGCAGGGACTTCGATTCTATCGATAAGCACCATACTTCCTTCCGAGCAGACTGTATGTCTGACAGGCGAATGGCTTGGCGTCCCGCGGTGGCGCGAGGAGGCGTTTTTGTACTACAGCACGGGACGGGCCCTCCGTCATTGCAGATCGCCCTCAATCATGCACCCGATTCCAAATTACCAGCCTCACATTCAAGACTATCGTGTGCTGCGAAATGGTCAAGATAGCGCGCAGCAATAACGTCCGAAGCAATGGGAATTTGCCGATGGAGGCTAGAGCGACGGAGGCGTCACAGCACGCGCACCTGCAAGCCATTCCAAGCCACTAATGCATTTGCTACGAACAGCCAGCATTCGTGTAGATCCGTGGTGTCAAGATCGTGTTCTCCGCTCGGTTATGGGGATGAGGAAGCAACACGGCAAGCAACCCGGTTCGTCGTGCATGCGCGTGCGCTTGAGGAGACCCAGAGGCTCGGGCCGTCAAAAGGTACGTCAGATCTGTGTGCCGTGTCAAGCATCCTGTAATGCCCCGACGGTCCCTTCAACCCGCTTGGCGATATCTTTTGTACAACAGCGCCTCAACGTTGATGAGGATTAGCGTCAACGCAATGCAACACCACCTATTCGGTAACCCAAAATTCGGTGAAAGCCCAGCATATCTATCATTAGCGTTCGTCATTCTTCCAATGACTCGCGGAAGTTCAATTCAAGAATGAGGCTCCAGGTTCTCGTTTACTTATCACGGCAGTTGGCCTTAGGTGATGTCTGTCATTTCGTCCCTACATAATGGTACCCCGAAGCCTTCATTTTCCGAGGTCCAACGACCTACCAGATAGCCAGTATTTATCTATGGGATCACTTACTATACCCAATCAATAGCCAACTGTCTTTGTATCGCTTCTCGCCCAGTATTCACCACTACGCAACATAACCTATCAGAGCGATCATTTTCTACCATGGCTGAAAGCACTGGCGCACACATACATATCGCGCAAGACGAGGCCTCAATCTTGGCCGAGACCAACCGGAAGAAGCAACAGGCTCAACAGCCGCGCCAACTGCTCTCATGTACAAAATGCAGAGAGCGAAAGGTCAAGGTCAGTCACATCCATCGATTCGCATTACAGATTGCGATATAAGAGATGCGGACAATATCCTCGCGGTGCACTTTGACTGCACACTGAGCTGACGTAGCATAGTGTGATCGCACTAAACCATGCTCGGCATGTTGTGCTCGTGGCTCTCCACGCGACTGCCACTTCATCGCGGAAGATGGCAATTACGCCCCGATACAACAGAGTTATGAGCTTCGTAAACTGCGCGCCGAGAATTTACGTCTTAAAGAAAGGCTGCGCGCCTACAAGATTTCAGCAGATGATGATCTGGATCATGTGGATTCTTTGGAATCACCTCTTACTGAAGGTACTGTTCCGTCGAGACGGCGAGCTGTGAAGCAGAAGCGTTTACAGACTTCCGAGTGGCAGGATAGCATCTACTTTGGCTCGCCTGGACTCGCTACTGTCCTCAGTGATGTATGTATATTCACACACACATCTTAAACACCAATCTAATATCACAAGTTCTCCTCGGCGGATGCTCGCGTTTTGCCATTGTCGTATACAATACCTCGAGCCTCAGACATGTTTCGCATTCTGCCGACGTATCCCTTCCCGACTCTCTTCGTTGCTGCGCCCGATGAATGCATCCCACAGCTA